GCGACCAGAGAGACTCTGTGTAGCCTGATATGGGTACATGCAGAACGAACCACGCCAGCAGGGATCTATGAACATATAGGTACTTTCGAGTGCTGCACTGCTTTCACCATAATGGGCACAAGGAATCTCTTTGGTTCAGGTTACGAAGCAACCTGACGAGCTGTGATACAAGATGGTACCTATCTCTTACTATACACTAACACAACTATCAGAAAAGAAATTGTTTTTATTTTGTTTTATATAGCGATAAGTAGATGCATGCATATCACAAAAAATTATTCCATTCGGAATATACTACATGTCTACCTTAGAGAGAAAATAACATGAAAAGTCCTATTGGCTACTACGGCTTTTCAACTTATAAATGTTCTACCTCAATTAGAAAAGAAAAACTAAACTTACGAGGGAACCGCCCGAGATGATTCCCCCATTTTAAGCTCATATTTATAGCACATATAGGGGACCTCTAGACTAGAATAAATCCTAAAGGATTCGGGCCCATGGCCTTTCTATCATGAGATATCGAATTTTCAAGTTTGTGATAGTATAACGATTTTAACTGTATATCACCATAATATATCGCAAAGAAAAACATAGTACAAGCTCAAATATCTTTGGGTAATATATATTATCATTAGTATATCATTTTGGAGCTTTTCCACATTTAATTCATCTGTGTATGCTGTGCTATTTCTTGTAAATACCAGAACATCAATAACTGTATCAGTGTAATAATGACAGATAAAAAAAAATGGTTATTTTTATACATTTTATCGCGTTCTGTTATAGTGTATGATAGAGACTAAATTATAGCTATTGACGCGTACGAAAGTATTTTGCGAAATACGTGATTCTGGTGAGTATTCATTGTATAGTATTTCATTTTTAATTCCACTGCTTAATCAGAACGATGATTAGCCCTACAAGAATTGCAAAACTGTTAGTCGATCGAATGACTCAAAGTGAAGGCCTACACCGTCAAGAAACAAGATCAAATCCACGTGAGGAAGAAATCATCAATTCATTACTGAAGATGATCGACGATGTTTGTCATTGCACATCTTATGAAATTGAATCGGATACCGCTCTCGATTACGATGACGAAGACGAATTTGGTGGTTTTGAAGACGAAGATGCCGATTCTGCTGATGAAAGTGTTGATCCTGGTTTTGATGAGTCAGCAGAGGGCAAGAATATGACGACCAGAGCGAATTTCAGTCTCGAGTATATCAAAAACGTTATCGACTATTATGACGCCCGTGACTCAAAAGGAAGAAAAAAACACACTTGGAAGTCTACTCAACATCGGTTCAAATCTGTTCCTCACCGACAGTATATTACTCGTTTTCGTCACTATATTGAACAACATGGTACCAAACGAGAAAAGTTACAAATCATCGACGATTTTGTATATGACATGTTTGAAGAAGCTCGAGAAAATGTTTTACCTGTTCATGATAGAGATTTAAAACGATGGGCGCTACAAAAAGCTGCTGAAGATCCGAGTCTTGTATTTGAAGCATCCGAGCACTGGTTGCGAGTCTTCAAATATCGTCATCGTATTTGTTCCAGAAAAATTACAAAATTAGTAACTCGCCATCATGCAGAAGATACTGATGCTATTATTGAATCTGCAGATTCATTCGTACGTGATGCTAAACGGCAGATGCAGAACTATGCACATGAAGAAATTTTAAATACCGATCAGGTTGGATTGGAGTTAGAGCTTCACTCCAGTAGAACCCTTTCGTATGAGGGCGAAAAGGTTACTATGGCACGTGTGAGATCAAAAAATGCTACGACGCATTCTTACACAATTCAACCGATGATATCTGCTGCTGGAAAATTGGTAGGTCCCCTCTTCCTTTGTTTGAAGGAGCCAAAGGGCAAGATGAGTGAAAGTGAGTTAATCTACTATTCATCGCATATGTAACGCACTAATCCACATTTTATTAGATATAAAAAACAAATTATTTTCTGCTTCAAATGTCGTTGTAACATGCAGCTCTTCGGGAAAACTTACCACTTCATTAGTTGAATATTGGAGGGATCATGTACTTCGTACGTCGGTTCCGTCTCAATTCTTCTTACTCTCGGACTATTGGCCTGGTCAAAGAAATGCAGATATATATTCTGCTATCGGAGGATGTAAAAGGCTAGAAATACCGGCTCATACTACATCGCGTATTCAACCACTTGATGTTTTCTTTAATAGACAATGGAAATTGATTGCCCGATGTATTTTCGATTATGTTCAACTCGATGATATTGCGATTAACTTGTCTGAACGAAATAATATCATTCGTTTAAACTCTCTCATTCACAATCAGTTATCCTCACATCTGTTCGTGCCTATGATAAAGTACTCATGGTTTGCATCAGGTTACATCGACCAGCATCCAGGACCTTTTCAGACTGTCAATGATATTTGTTTCGATATTGGCAGCAACTTTTGTCAACAGCCGAACTGTAACTTACTCTCGTTTATTCAATGCAGTTACTGTCGTAAATTTCTTTGCTTTGAGCATTTTTTTGAAGCTTATCATTTTCACAATTAAGTGTTTACTATCTATTCGTTAGATTCAATAACTTCGAATATAGTTCATCGCATAAAATAGAACTAACATAGCACCACTATAAATTATGAAAAGACTAATGAAGATCCCATAAGAGATAACTTCCTCAAAAATATTTGAGCTTGTATTACGTTTTTCTTTGCGATATATTGTGGTGATATACAGTTAAAATCGTTATACTATCACAAACTTGAAAATTCGATATCTCATGATAGAAAGGCCATGGGCCCAAATCCTTTAGGATTTATTCTAGTCTAGAGGTCCCCTATATATGCCATAAATATGAGCTTAAAAGGGGGGAATCATCTCGGGCGGTTCCCTCGTTAGTGCTTTTCATCATTCCTCTATTGTTCTTCTTAAGAGAAAACAAGCAACATACCCTATTTTAGATAACAATATGTGTCATGATGGTAATAAAAAGTTTAAAAATCTAGCATAGAGTACTTCTAGACATCTGATATATCTATTGTAAATAATAGCATTTCCCTCTCTAGGAAGATGTAAGAAAAAAAAAATATTTCATGAGGAAGACGGAACTTATTTTACATCCTTTATATATGCTGACTACACGATGACGAATTTGCACAGCGAAGTAGAATATATATGATGAAGAAGACTATATTGTGAAAGAAAAGAATGCGAATAACAACGTGACGGATTCTATAGGAGCTTTCTTGTCTACTCTGTTAAGGAGAGTTCGCTTTCGACACGTTAATAAACTTGAATGGGAAAAAACCAAGCCATTCTTTTACAACGATGTATACGTGCTACAATCAATTCCAAATCAAGTATACAATAAAACCATACGATGAGGCTCGTTTTGATCGTAAGTAGATTACCATTATCATACTTTTTTATGCCCAATTCTATGTTTCCGAAATCATGAAAAAATTAGCAATTAATCCCGATATATTGAAGCGAGAATTCTAAGCTGAAACGTGATAAATCGTCATTTTTTTTTCGATGATTTTGACGGTTTTTGTGATAAACCGTGAGTTTTATGCTCGATTATCATTGTTCACCATATCGATAGTGGCAATGATTTTGTTTGTCTAATCTTAATTTCTACTGTTCTATAGACAAGTTCCTATTACTACATAATGACTTATATTTAATTGAGCAATCAAATAATTTAAATGAGCCATAATTAAATTTACCAATAATTATACTGAATGAGCAATAATTTACTTAAATAAGGGTAAATTTTATATAAAAAGGGCAATATGAATTCATTTATTTA